CGACTAGATGAATAGGTACCACTTCGGTGAGAAGGTAACAGTGTTCTGAACGCCTCAACATATTGTTCTGTTGACTAGCCCGGGTTTGAGACCCAAGCACTGATTGACAGGGTGAGCTCCCATTCCTCGTTCCAGCTCCTGCCCGCCTAGCAACTCGAAAGCATGCAAATGCGACTAGATAAATAGGTACCACTTCAGTGAGAAGGTAACAGTGTTCTGAACGCCTCAACATATTGTTCTGTTGACTAGCCCAGGTTCGAGACCCAAGCATTGATTGACAGGGTGAGCTCCCATTCCTGGCTCCAGTTCCTGCCCGCCTAGCAGTTCGAAAGCATGCAAATGCGACTAGATAAATAGGTACCACTTCAGTGAGAAGGTAACAGTGTTCTGAACGCCTCAACATATTGTTCTGTTGACTAGCCCAGGTTCGAGACCCAAGCATTGATTGACAGGGTGAGCTCCCATTCCTGGCTCCAGTTCCTGCCCGCCTAGCAGTTCGAAAGCATGCAAATGCGACTAGATAAATAGGTACCACTTTGGTGAGAAGGTAACAGTGTTCTGAACGCCTCAACATATTGTTCTGTTGACTAGCCCAGGTTCGAGACCCAAGCATTGATTGACAGGGTGAGCTCCCATTCCTGGCTCCAGTTCCTGCCCGCCTAGCAGTTCGAAAGCATGCAAATGCGACTAGATAAATAGGTACCACTTCGGTGAGAAGCTAACAGCGTTCCGTGAGCCTGGATGTATAGTTATGCTGACCACATGACTATGGGCCATTCCCACAGACCGCCAGGCACTGTTACCTGTAATTGCTTGACTGCTTTCTGGGCATATTGTGGCTTCTTGTACTCCACAAATCCAAACCCCATGGAGAGGAGGTTGCCTAAAAAGAACACGGGAGGAAGATCAGAAATGGATTAATGCTAAAACACTTCCCCGTTCCTTCTCTAGCTTAGAGATCCTCAGCCTTCAAAGCGGCCAAGTGATTGAATTTGGCTCTTTTTAGCGTCCTCACAGTCATTGTTTGACCGTGAGGACGCTATGAGCAAGAACTGGTTGAAAATCTATTTTCTCATTGTTTGAACAGTCACCGTTCTGACCCAGGCTTCCTTAGAAAGCAAGAAGCAGAGTCTTGGTCCCGACTAAATCTCTTTTATTTACACAACTGTGAATTCCTTTCATTCACAGTCAGCAAGGCTTGGCAAACAGTCTTTCAGAGGAATATTAATCAACACGAACCTTATCTTGCCTGGAGAGCTGCCAGATAACTAGTTTCTAAGCACAGGACAAGGCAATACTTGGCACTTAACTCTTATAATCACAAACAGAACTTTCCACTCTTGAAATGACCGAAGGAACGAATTGTTTCCTGCAAAATCCCCCTCCCCATTCGCTCCTCTTTTGTTTCCCATGGGAGGGGCCAATCACCTCCAAGGCGTGGCTTTACTCCCAAGTCGACCCTGCTTTCTTAGTTGTTCTTGTCTTCTGGCAGTTCTGCGCATGCGCACACTGGGAACAGGCTCCAGCTGTTCCTCTGCTTCGCTGCTGTCTAGCTCCCTCTCTGCCTCCGACGCAGAGCCCTCGTCTGAGCTTTTCTCAACTCCCAGGATTGGCCCATGTTCCTCCCCAACCTCCTCACTGTCCCATTCTGCTGCCAATTCCGGTGGCTGCCCGCGGGCCACAACAGTCACTAAATAAATGGTTGTAAGTCAAGGACCAACCAGCTGTGGGTTACAAGAAATAAAGTCAAAGGGTACAAAAGAACTGCAAGGACAATACTCGGGAAAACACATACCGGTTTTATCTTTCTTCTTCGTGATGGTGCAACTCCGCACAGTGCCAGCTTTGGAAAAAACCTGGAAAAGAAGAAAGAGGAGCATGCTTTTAAGTTTTATTCTCCTGTATGGTGCCCCCCTGCTTTTCTCCCAGAGGGGAAGGACAAAGGGAGAGGCAGGGGGAGGAAAGATGCTACGTGACATCAAAATTCTACACTAGCGAGCAAGACAGAATATGGATGGCCACGGAGCACAGAGCAGGATTCATAAACGTGGATTACTTGACTGCCTCAAGGGCAGTCTCCAAATTTAATCCAAGAGGAAGAAGGACGATTCCTGTAAAGTTCTAAGACTAGGGCGAAACGGAAGGAAGGAAGGAAGGAAGGAAGGAAGGAAGGAAGGAAGGAAGGAAGGAAGGAAGGAAAAGACAGAGGAAGGAAGAAAAAAAGGTAAAAAAAGAGGGAGGAAAGGAAGGGCAGAGGAAGGGAAGGAAGGAGAAAAGGTAAGAAAAGAGGGAAGGAAGGAAGACAGAGAAAAAGAAAAAAGAAAAAAGGGAAGAAAGGAAGGAAAAGAGGGAAAAAGACAAAAGGTAAGAAAAGAGGGAAGAAAGAAAGGAAGGAGGAAGGGAAGGAAGGAAAAAGGTAAGAAAAGGGGGAGGGAAGGAAGGAAGGGACAGAGAAAAAGAAAAGAGGGAGGAAAAGAGGGAGGAAAGGGAAGGAAGGAAAAAAGGTAAGAAAAGAGGGAGGAAAGGAAGGAAGGAAGGAAAAGACAGAGAAAAAGAAAAGAGGGGGGAAAAGAGGGAGGAAAGGAAGGAGGCAGAAGAAGGAAGGAAAAAAGGTAAGAAAAGAGGGAGGGAAGGAAGGAAGGAAAAGACAAAGAAAAAGTAAAAAAGTAAGAAAAGGGAGGAAAGGAAGGAAGGAAAAGAGAGAAAAAGACAAAAGGTAAGAAAAGAGGGAGGGAGGGAGGGAGGGAAGGAAGGAAGGAAAGGGAAGCCCCCAAAATAATTTGATACAAAATCAGAATGAGTGACTTTATTGGCCTCACTTCTTAAACCAGAGGAATCAAAAACAGATGAACTAATTCCACTTTATTGTCAAGCCATACTGACAATCTCTTGCAAGTCTCAAAGTACAATTGTCCCCCCCACCATCTTTACCACTTGAGAAACTAGGGAGGGTTTCTTCTAGGGCCTCTTGCCCCAACCATTCTCCAGCTGTGGGCTATGCCCTCTCTTATTGGACCATTGTCTCTTCACTCTATCCCCCAAGGTATTTCCCGCAGGCCATTACATAGCCATGAAATCCCTGAAAATCACCTCTTTTAGCGTGTCTTCTGTAGTGCTGAAGTTGAGGTTTTTTATGAAAATGGTACAGCCTGGAAGAGTTTCTTCTTCCTCCTCTTCCTCCTCCTCCTCTTCCTCCTCCTCCATTTCCTTCTGAGCATCCCTTTTTTCAGAAATCCCTGCAAGAGAAGGAGGTTTGAGTGCATCTAAGGGAAGATGATGCATCTTCAGTGGCTCAGTGGCTATGACACTGAGCTTCTCGATCAGAAAGATCGGCAGTTCGAATCACTACTGCTGCATAATGGAGTGAGCTCCCGTGACTTGTCCCAGCTTCTGCCAACCTAGCAGTTCGAAAGCACGTAAAAAATGCAAGNGGAAGATGGAAGGGAGAAGGTAGGAACGGAAAGAGGAAGAGAGGAGTAGGGGAGAGGTAAGGGAAGAAGGAAGGGAAAGGAGAGGAGGAAGGAAGCAGAAGAGGGAGGGAGAAAAGAGGACCTACAATAGAAAAAGAAAGGAAGAGAGGAGGAGAGGAGAGGAAGAGGAGGGGAGGAAGATAGAGGTAAGGAGAGGAAGATGGAAAGGAGGAGAGAGGGGAGGAAGGGGAAGAGGGATAGGGCAGAAGTAAGGGAAGAAGGAAGGGAAAGGAGAGGAGGAAGAAAGGAGAGAAGGGAGGGAGGGAGAAAAGAAAGGGAAAAGAAGGTGGTGTCAAAACAGGCGAGGGATGGTAAATAAAAGAAACCCAAATGATATGTTATAACCCTGTAAGTGGAACGACAAAAGTATAAGAATGACAGATGTAAAAAAAGAATAATAACTATGTGAATGTATACCTATAATTGTAGCTTGAGAACAAAAATTAAAAAGCCCAAGATGGTTTAATGAGATCAAAAGCCTCAGAAGGAAAAAAAAAAAACACTCCTGCATTCAAATATTAAAGAACAAACAGCTAGACAGCAGGTGGCTATATTTTTTTTTGTTATTTCTACTTCTCCTACTCAGCTTCCAACTGGACTTTTTAATCTGTTCAAGTATGTACCAATTTCTACCCAAGAGCTTCTATTAGGTTGAGTCAGTCCACCTCCCTCCTTTTGCAAAGCTCAGGAGCGCCCCCTGCAGATCCAAGAGGAAAAACACTAACGGCCCATCCATTTTTCAGCAGCTGGAAACAGCTGGTTAAGTAGATCCTAAGGCTTGATAAGGCTAAGGCTGTGGTTTTTCCCAGTTGCAAATGGATGGCTGTGGAAGCTGGACCAGAGAGGAGAGGAGAGGAGAGGGGGGGGGGGAGGAGAAAGAAGGAGGAGGAGGAAGAGAAGGAGGAGGAAGAGGAAGAGAAGGAGGAAGAGAAGGAGAAGGAGGAGGAGGAGGAAGAGAAGGAGAAAGAGAAGGAGGAAGAGAAGGAAGAGAAAGAGGAGGAGGAAGAGGAGGAGGAGGAAGAGGAGGAAGAGGAAGAGAAGGAGAAGGAGGAAGAGAAGGAGGAAGAGAAGGAGGAAGAGGAGGAGGAAGAGGAGGAAGAAGAGAAGGAGGAAGAAGAGGAAGAGAAGGAGGAGGAGGATGAAGAGAAGGAGAAGGAGGAAGAGAAGGAGGAAGAGTAGGAGGAGGAAGAGGAGGAAGAGNGTTCAAAGGCCTCCATTCTTTGGCACTCAGCCTTTCTTATGGCCCAACCTTCACAGCCATCCATTGCAACTGGGAAAACCACAGCCTTGACTAGATACTTTTGTTGGCACTATAGTGCTGGAGGAAGCACCATCACCTTCCCACCAAAAGTGGTCACTATTTTTCTACTTGCATTTTTTTATCGGTTTTCGAACTGCTAGGTTGGCAGAAGCTGGGACAATTAACGGGAGCTCCCTCCGTTACGCGGCACTAGGGATTCGAACCGCCAAACTGCCGACCTTTCTGATCGACAAGCTCAGCGTCTTAGCCTCTGAGCCATCGCGTCCCTCGCACAGACCATAGCTTAGTACAAACCTGGACCTAGCTAAGGACAGAATTAAATAAGAATGAAGGATGACGGTCGTAAGTATGAACCACTTGTCAAGCGTCTGAATTTTGATCACGCTAGCCATGGGTGGGGTGCTGCAAAGGTCGTAACTGTGAAACACGGTCGTAAGTCCCTTCTTCTCAGTGTCGTAACTTGGAATGGTCACTAAATGAAGCGCCGTAAGTCGAGAACTACCTGCGCATGGTTACAAAACTTGCTTCAAGAGTATTTTTTTTAATAAAAGAATAAGGAGTCTTTTTTTTTTTTTTAAAAAAAGACATTTCTAAATCTAAAATTTATTGGACTTTGATGTTGGATTTCTCTAATTCCACCCAAACTGGCATCGTCTTCATTAATTGCTTTAACGAGGAGAATAAGTCGAATTTGCAGAGAAGATCAAATGAATGCAAATCCACTAAGGTGAAGAGAAATCTCATTAAGTGTCTCCATTAAAGAAATGAAGAAGTCTTGGAAATTTAAAAAAAAATATCTTTAGAAATAAAGGAATGTCTATCTTTCCTCTTTGAGGCCTTCCAAAAAAATCAAAAAAATAATCCCAAGAGACTAAAAGGGGCAACAGAAGCCCAAACTATCTTGAAAGAGAAAGAGAAAAAAATAAACTCTGCTTTTCTAGCTAAACCGCCATCTCAAATATGGGCCGTCCTTGACTTACGACACAATTGAGCCTCGAATTTCTGTCGCTGAAGCCAGACCTTTGTTAAGGGAGCTTTGGGAAAGCATTTGGAACACAAATTATAAACTAACACGATCAGCAGCACTTCAAGAAAATATATACAAAATGTTTTATCATTGGCATTTATCACCAACAAGATTGGCTAAAATGTACCCANTCCCCATTCCTTCCCACTCCAGGGGAAGGATACTGCAAAATCCCCATTCCTTCCCACTTCAGGGAAGGATACTGCAAAATCTCCACCTGCTAGTAGGCATCGCACACTGCTCAGAGGCTATCCTACGAGGTCAAATCATACATTGCAAAAATCACTTGGAGGTGGGGGGGTATTTCTAATGTAACGTACTGGATCCCCTTCATGAATTGTCCCCGTGACTATGAAGGTAACCACCAAATTGCAAGAACTCAAGCGAGCGGTCAAACAAGATGACCCAAACTTATTGGTAGCCTCCCTTTGCAATGAACAAGGACATACATTCAATTTCACAGCTATTAAGATTGTTGGCCAAGCAGGGACAAAAACAGCCAGGGAAATAATTGAAGCCTGCGGAAAAAGGCCCCTTGTCAGTCAACAAGGGTGCTGATTTACCACCAGTTTATCAGGCACCACAAGAAAACAACACCCAGCCATCAACACCCCACACAAAGCGACACACACAACAAGGCACCACATAAATACCCTGCACAGAATAGCCCACCACACACAATGTGCTAGAGAGACGTTTCCTGAGGATGGGGGGTTCCAGCACGAACTCAAAAGCTCAGAAGATTAAACCTCTCATCCCGGTGACCGACCGAGATGGCATCCGGGTAACGAAACATCTGCAAGCAAGCCACCAAAGTCAGAGAGCGCCGAGGACTCCACAGTCTTATCCCATCTTTCTCTACATCCAAAGAAAAGGAAGGAGAAAAGAGAAGAGATGGAGGACTGTCTGACCACCTGTCTATTCTGATCGAGGCTGCCCGAGAGCCTGAAGCAAACTCCTTGTCCCGACAAAAGCCCCTTTTATGAATTGACTGTGAATTCTGCACATTCACATCCAGCAAAGTCTTTCGAGGGAGAATTTACAGTCACAGACCTTATCTGGCTTGGAGAGCTGCCAGGCCGATCTCTGCAGAACTTGGCAAGGAGCCTCGGAGAGTCATGAGCCAATGAAGCAAACTAATTTTCTCCTGCAAACTCCACTCCCCTTTCGCTCCTCTTTTATGTCCTCTGGGAGGGGCCATTCACCATCCACCTGTGGCTTTACTCCCAAGTCGACCCCTGTTCTTTAGCTCTTCCCTTCTCCTGGCAGCTCTGCACATGTGCACACTGGGAACAGGCTCCAGCTGTTCTTCTGCCTAACTGAGGTCTGACTCTGAAGGCAGCTGATAACTGTCATGACGGCCCTGGCCCCCTCTCTGCCTCCGACACAGAGCCCTCGTCCGAGCCTTCCCCAGACTCCAGGACTGGCCCAGGTTCCTCCCCAACCCTCCTCACTGTCTGAATCTATTGCCAGCTCTGCTGGTCACTGGCAGGCCACAACACTTGTCAGACTTCCCCTGAGTGAAGGCCAGGCTCAAGAGATCTGAAATGGAACCGCACCAAGTTGTCCTGCTTTCTCGACTGTCATCCTCCCCCTCCCCAATTGTTCCTACCTGACAGCTTCTCTACTGCCGCTGGAGACGGGAGAATGACACATTTGGGAAGGTGTGGTTGCTGTGCTACTGCCGTTGCAGTAATTGAGCGCAACTGAGCTGGCTCTTGGAGAAGAAAGCTCACCACGGAGGGGATGAAGGAGAAGGTAAGCAGAAGCATAGGGGCTGACTTCGCATTAAAAAAAAAATCCACCTTTTCTGAGAGAGGGGGCTCTCTCTAACCCCAATTCCTAAACTTACAAGGATGCT